TAGATAGATAGATAGATAGATAGATAGATAGATAGATAGATAGATAGATGGGATAATGAGATTTTTTTTCTATATTTGGTAGAAACTTAAATGAACAGACCCAGGAAGCTATAACCATATGAAATATGAAGTACCAGAGAACACTGTACTTAGGTTTTATAAAGCTAGTGATAGCAAGAAAAATACCCTCCAAATAGACTTGGAAATGGAAATTGCGTGAGTAAATTAAAAAAATTTTTAACCTAAAGAGCATATTGATTGTAACAAAAATATATAATACTGATTCTCTCTTTTTGAGGGTTTTTTGTTTGTTGGTTCGTTGGTCTATTGGAATATCTATTGATAAGAATACTGGATACTGTAAACATTGTTGATTTCTTTATAATAATGTAATATTTGGGTTTATATGCAGTAGTATGTATGTGATAACACTAAGATAACAGCCAAAAGCTGAGTGCATATTCATATTTATGTTAAAAGTCTGTTGAAAAAGTCTGTTTCCTGTTGCCAAGAAGTGACCAGCCTCTGCTCATACTCTGCTGCCAAAACACATAGGCCAGTCAGCATGGACTGAAGATGTATCAAAGTAAATGTTTACTTCTAAGTTCTGTCAAGTATGCTGGTCACAGAGATGATGAAAGTAACTAATACAACTGTTGGCCAAACTGACATTTATAGAGTGTTTCTTCCAGCAAATGCACAGCACTAATTGATTTTTAAGACCATACCTTTCCCAAGATAGGCCACACTGAGAGCCTTGGCTGTCCTGGACTCATTTTGTAGGCCATACTGGCCTCGCATTGATCTGCCTGCCTCCTGAGTGCTGGGGTTAAAAGTGTGCGCCACCACCTTTGGCTTTGTAGACTTTCCTGGATAATTTTATGTCAACTTCATACAAGCTAAAATCATTTGAGAAGAGAGAACCTTAATTAAGAGAATTGCTTTAGCTGCACACACCTTTAGTCTCATCACTTGTTAGGCAGAGGCAGGTGGGTCTCTGAGTTCAAAGGCTAGAGATCTACAGAGTGAGCTCCAGCATAGCCAGGGCTGTGAAACCCTGTCTTGACCCCCACCCCCAAAAATGGCTTTATAAGATCAGGCTGCAGGCAAACTTGTAGGTCATTAGTTAGTGATTGTGGGTTGTGTTATTCCTGGGCTATGATTTTGGGTTCTGTAAGAAAGAAGGCTGTGCAAGCTGTGATGAGCAAGCCAGTAAGCTGCACTCCTCTGGGGCCTCTGCATCAGCTCCTGCTTTCAGGTGCCTGCCATGCTTGAGTTCCTGTCCGACTTCCTTCAGTGATGAACTGTGGAAGTGTAAGTCAAAAAAAAAATAACACCCCTATCCCTGCCCCAGCCTTAGTGAGGCTGACTAAGGCAGTGGCCCATTTGAAATACTGCTATTTCAATAAATGATACCGCTTTTGGAAATGAATTCAGCCTGGAGTAACAAGTTTATTTTCATATAATTACTTATTTTTACTTTGCTGATTGTACTAATGGTTTCTGTATTTCAGGTATGAATATCGTGTAGAAATGGTTCATCAGTCCTGCAACGATCCTACCAAAAATATCATTCGAGAATTTGCATCTGACTTTGAAGTTGGAGAATGCTGGGGCTATAATAGATTTTTCCGCTTGGACTTACTTGCAAACGAAGGATACTTGAACCGACAAAATGATACCGTGATTTTAAGGTAGTTTCAGATATTTGGTATTGTGACTTACATTATGGTGAAATAATATCAAAACTTTATTTCAGAGTCTTACTTAATAACATAAATATTGGAATTCACAATAACCTAACTTTTATTTCAAGAATTCTGTGTAGTTAGATGAGTAATAAAATTGAGAAAATAGTTTGACACCTAGTTATTGATTCCATTAAAAAGGAGACTATTGCCAGATGTGATGCCCCAGTATTTGAGATTAGAGCCAGAAAAAGTAGGCATTCAAGGCCAGTCTAGGCTACTTAACAACTTTGGAGTCAGTCTGGGTTACCTTGTAGATCTTGTCTCAAAAAATAAGTAATATTTTTTTAAAGGCAGTTTATAGGTTGAACATACTTAACTAAAAATCCAAAATGTCCCAAAATCTGAATTTTTTACCTCGAGGCCAGCCTGGTCTACAGTGAGTTAAAAAAAAGATAAAGGAAGAAAAATGACAGTGATGCTGTGCCAACAAGAATACTGGTTAAATTACCTTCACCCTGGGCAGAGAGCATGTAAAGCTATCTAAGAATAGCAAGGGCATTGCGTAATTTGCTTTTTTTTTTCTCCTTTTCTTTTATCTCTAGTGTAATAGTTCAGTGACTGATATTACAAGCTTACTTTTAGAGAACATATTTCAATTTCTGGTAAATTCATGTTAGAAGTATAGGAACAAAAGTGAAAATTAACAGTTGTGATGGTACAGACTTGTAATCCCAGCACTTCAGTAGCAGAGGTAGGAGGATGAGGAGTTTAAGGTCATTCTTGCCTACATAGGGAATTCAAGATTTGCCAGGATTACTGAGATACTATGTCAAAGAAATCAAAACACAGGAAGAGGTGGAAAAAGAAAGGGAAAAATAAAAGAAAACTTTTTTTTTTTTTTTAATGAGGTCATAGCCTTCTTTTTCTGTTTCACCAAAGAAAAAATACTTTGTTGGCATTTCATGTTACAGTCACAATTCAAACATCAATTCACCAACCTACAAGTTGACCATTTTTCCTGTAGTGAGAATTTTATAATTTTGGTTTCTTTATAAACTTGGTGTGGTGGTGCACGCCTCTGATCCCAGCACTCAGGAGGCAGAGATAGGCAGATCTCTATGAGTTTGAGGCCAGCCTGGTTTACAATGTGAGTTCAGGACAGCCAGGGCTCTTGTTACACAGAAAAACCCTATCTGGAAAAACACAAAAACAACACCACACACACACACACACACACACACACACACACACACACACACACAC